ATTTATAATTATTTTCATTCCTTCAGCGCATCTGTTCTTGAAGATAGCTTTGAGTACCTTGATGCTCCCGTTGAGAGGATTGCCGGGGCAGATGTTCCCATGCCCTATGCTGCAAATCTTGAGAGAATTGCTGTCCCACAGGTTAGTTCCTATTGGGCCTTTTTCCTTTTGTTCTTGACTATATCTTCTTTGGCTTTAATAATGCAATACACAAATACATATGTACTTAAACATAATTAATGGGATAAAAGAAAGGCAAAATTAGTGCTGGACTACCCTTTCATGTGGTGTGATTGTCCTTAACCTTCAAAATTGAGATTCTAGGTCCCCAAACCTATATAAATCTGTAAATTATAGTCCACATGTGGGAAAAACTGCCCATGTAAATGTGAAAAATTGCATGCAATTTTTAGTTGAATTGAAGAGAAATGTTAAGTGGCTTGATTGTTATGTCATCTAGCTCTGAGTCATGTGAAAGATGCATCAAATTTTGACATTCACGTTGATGTTTCAATCATGTTGGACTTTGATTTATAGATTTAAATTGATTGGGGACCTAGATACTCATTTTTGGAGGTTGGAGACTCATAATCTCGCTACCTGAAAGGTTGGGGAGCTCAGCCCTAACTTTCCCTATAAGCAATGGTGGTTGTATTTTATAATTGCTTCCATTATTCATACTTCAATAACCCTCAACTACGGAATACTATGATAAAGGCATTAAAGATGTGCTTTAGTTTCTTCACAATATACGAGTTGCAGTTGATACTAATTTGACTATTTTTGAGCAGACACTTGACTTCATGGTGGATAAACTTGAGCTAAAATGTTCATGTGCTATTTTCTTTTAACATGCGATTATGTTATCTGAAGATTGTGACCTTTAGTAGGTGCCCACTGGTTCAATTGTTGAAGCATTTCTATATTTGTTTCTTCCTTTTCTCATTATACTCTTCATGTTATCTTTGATTTTGATTGCCCTTCGGTAATCCCAACTCCACTTACATTTTCATCATCTATCAAATAATTCTTCGATCCCTTTGATTCTATTCTGTCATAACCCAATCCCCTCGTGCACTAGCACTAGTTTGATATAAACCTTTTAGAATAATTCTTCAATTGGGGTTAGATCTAAAGATTGTCTTTCCTCTGTTATTTACTTATTCCATATATACGTACTGTGGGGAGAATAAACGAGTTGTATGATAATATACACAAGCCAAACTAGAGAACTAGCCAACACTAGTGCTTCAAACAATCTAGACTACTTTATTGACAGATTTTTCTTCTTTTCTTCCATTATTTTTAATGCAAATGATCCTGCATGTTGTTGAACTCATTCCCTGATATGCGTTAAAATCCATTGTTCAGGTCGAGGACATTGTTCGAGCTGCAAAGAGGTCTTGCTACAGATCAAGTTCATTGGCTGCAACTGCTTAAACTTTACAAAGAACACAAGGTTTTTGTTGATTCCAGATTTTTGTTTACACGTTATTGTGTGGATTTTTCCCTTTTCCTTTGCCTTCTGTGGTTAAGAAATCCACATTTGCTATGAAATAAGATTAATAACATTGACGGTGTACGAGTTTCTGAAATTTATCTTTATTGTTGTCACAGTTGAAGAAGATTAATGTGTAAGAAAACCAAAGAAGCTTAGTGAAGCAAAAGCTGCAAAGCCATTGTTATTATCCTAGTTTTGTTTGCAAACTTTGTTACTTTTTCTGGTTTTGGTTGGCATATTGACCACGTTCATTGAGTGTGCAGTGTCATCTGTTATCTGAAAGTCGATTACATGAGGCAGGAACTATGTACATATCAAGTCTGAGTTCTTCATAATCAGCTCCGACTTGATACTCCTCTTGTCGAACCTATGTTTTTGGCAATGATTTTTACCGGCGAATTATTTTATAATAAAGTTCTTTTATTGCCGATAATGTCTCTACTGAATCGACCCATTGCCTGCATAAAATGTGCATGTGGATTTATCTTTCAAGAGAAGTTGTACAATTATGTATTTAGATGAAAATGAAGAGGACCTGGCTCTAGATGGGAAGAAAGAAACAAAAAGAGGAGAGAGAAGGGAGTCTCCATCGTTTAGTGCATCTTGCTAATTCGTCCCTAACTTTTAAAATTGAACTTTTACGTCCAAAATGTGTTGTGCTGTTGGCGTGGTTAGCCCTTTTATTTATGGGTAAATTCATCCAGGGATCCGAATGTTTCACGAGTGTAGCAGGTAAGTCCATACCTTTTTATTGCGTGGGCAGTATCTCCACCTATGGAAAACGTAAACGGCTTCGCGAAATGCGTGTGATGTCTAACATCACATGGACATCACATGCGCTTTAATGCATAGCAACTGACTAGTAACATGGATTGAAATGAAAAGGACTATTATTAATTTTATGTATTCTAAAATGTCCGTCTAGACACAGAACATGTAGAAAATGCCTTGTCTAGTGTTTAGATGGGAAAAAACGTTGTCCACTTAAGACACGCAAGTGGTATTATATTGTTTTAGGTTGTGTTTGAATTACATTATTTTGAAAAAATGTATTCTGAAATAGTAGATTGATGAAGAATGTGTGATTGAAAAAGAAGGAAACGTTATTTATGATTTTATGTGATGAAAAATATTATTTTATTGAAAAATGTGTGGTTGAAAATTAGTAGAAGAATAATAATGAAAATTTTAACGTGGGGCTTAAAGTCCAATTGACAAAATGCTCAACACGTGTTAAAATTTAAAGAGAGAATGAGTAACAAAAAATCTGTCATTCCCCAAATCCAGTTCAAAATATTGCTCTCTGTCCAAGGCAAAGCATTAACGATTCTGCGGATTATGTTTTCTTTGAAAAATTTAAAAAATATATGTATAATTAATGATTTTTAATTTTTTAATATAATTTATAATTAGTTCTCAATTACAGATTCCGTCGATCATTTCATGGACCATGAATCATTTCAAATTTTTTACAACTGAAGTACAAAGTATCATCAATCATGTTACAGTGTCAGATAAGTTGACAAAAAAATTAACATAATATCACATGATATTTTATTATTGGATTGTTTAAAATACAGACAGTTTTTCTATTCAATTATCTATTGTCTCCTACACTTCTATCACTACATTTGTCAAAATTCTTATGGCAAAGTGGCATGATCCAAGAATCATATAGTTTTCAATGTTAATTATGATTGTACTATTACAATGAAAATGAGAGAATTAAGGTAAGCTCGAAATCGAAACAACAGATTTAACTTCTCAACACTTTTAAGTCGAAACTAGTAATATCGATTGTAAAGATAGTTTTGCATTGTGATATTTATTAGTTATAAGTTTCAAGAAGATGCAAATTAACTTACCGAGGTCAAGCAATTTAAAAGAGTAGGGAGCAATTTACTAGTTCAAAGATTAAAAAAAAACTTGAGCTAATAATTAAAAAAATTTCATGTTATACAACTAGAAAATAGGTTACGATTTATATAACATAATGTATAAGTTACAAGAACCTTGCTACACTTACACACTTTAGTACACAATCTCCTACACGACCTTCTCACATGTGTCTGGGTCCCACAATGTGGGGCCCATTGTGAACCCCACACATATGTGAGAGAGTTGTGTAAGAGATTGTGTACCAAGTGTGCACAAGTAGCATTTTTGAAGTTACAAAATTCGAACAAAATCAGTGAACAAATCCATGCATCAAACCAATTAAACAGAGAGAGTAAATGCTGATCAATAAAATTTCTTAATCAATATGAAAAACAAAATCAATCTCTATAAATGGGACGAATAGAGTATTAAGACTCAAGATTTCATCTTAAAAACTCAACTTTGTTAAAAACATTAACTCAAATTCGTTTATATTAATTATTGATTTCATCTTTAACCAACTTGAATTGTCTTTGATACATTGAATGGAAAATTGGCAATTGCTCACATGAAATCATGCATGAAACGGATAGAGAGAGACTAAATTTGCATGGTTCCAAAAAAGATGTCAAAGTTGATACTTTAAGTAAATGAGATCCAATGAACAAAAGGGTCACTTTATAATCTCGATAAAGGGAAGACAAAAGGGAGTTCAATTTGTTATGGGTTTCTTTCTTTTATGTAAAACTTGTTAATGGAAATTAGTACCTTGCATTGAATAAAAAGGACATATCACCATTTTCATTAGCTTTTGTGTGGCTAAAGATCTTGTACTCTTTGGACCCATAACGCATTCCCCTTTTTTGGGAATATGGCCTAACTAATCCAAGCCAAGTATAAAGGAATTTTTAGGTGGAGTTGTTATAACTTTTATCATTCTTCGTACTATCTAACCATTTTTGGGGACAAATGCTAACTCTTATGCCCTGTTTGTCATCCTTTAAAAAATTAAATTGTTTGTTACAGTATTATTAACTAGTTTTATCTCACTTTCTTTATGTTTGACGATTAAATTTAATTTAAATTTCAACGCACTTCCAGAAATGTAAATGCATCTTGCGACTATTGTTACGTAAAGAGTAATGTGATGTATCATGTGGTATAAATAAAAATATAATTAATCACCAATTAAAGACAATAGAATCCACTTGTGAGGATAAATACCATTGCTAGTGTCCTTAAAGCTGAATTAATTTGCCTATTAATGTTGGTAAAAAATATAATGATAATAAGAAAAAAATAAAAATTAATGATGGAAGATTAGACGCAAATTGAGGAAAAAAATGTAATTGTCATAAACTACGCTCGATATCTATGGCATGTATTTAAATTGATTTATCGGATTTCTTGGAATTTTTTAACACGCGTCTAGATTGCAAAATTCATAAATAAATCGTAGATCTCTAACTTCTTTTCCCCTCCTCATAACATTAAATGCATAAAACCTACCAATTTCCTCGGACTTGATATTGAATAATTCCTACCTTCCTCAATCTCTCTCTCTCTATAAATACTATATGTTCCTCGGTTTCTGCAGTAATTAAGGAAGAAGAAAAAGATAATGGAAAATAGTGGAAGTACATCTCTTCATAAAACAGATAAATTGTCATTTGCATCGCAGATTCTGTTGAGAGTTTTGGCCACTGGGGGTACTTTGGCTGCTGCATGGCTTGTCCTCACTAGCAAGCAAACTGTTGAGGTTTTCGGAATCGTCGTCGATGCGCGCTATAGCTATTCATCGGCTTTCAAGTAAGATCTATTATTCATTCTCGCTCGGCTCTGATTTTTGTTAGATATCTTCGACTTATTTTTCTGTTGTTGGATGCAGGTTCTTTGCATTTGCAAATATTATTGCTTGTGCATTCTCTCTTCTCTCTTTGTTTATTGTTTTCATCCTTGGTTACAAGGCACTGAATCCAAGAAATTACTTCTTCATATTTCTGCATGACTTGGTAGGTATAATTTACAGCATGACACGGTATTACTTAAATTTTGTTTACCATGAATGTACTAACGAGGAATTGAAATTGTTCCATCCACAGATCTTGACAACGTTGTTGATGGCAGGATGTGCAGCAGCGACAGCGATAGGGTACGTGGGGAAATATGGCAACAGCCACACTGGTTGGATAGCAATTTGTGACCATTTTGCCAAATATTGTAAAAGAATTACGGTTTCTGTTATGATGTCGTTCATTTGTATCGTGTTCTATCTTTTCCTCACTGTAATTTCTGCGAATTTATCTCGGAAAACTTAAGTTAGATGCTGTTTTTACATTTGAGGTCAAAAGTATTGTTTAAATTATTAACTTTTATTGTATATTTCGATTTGAAGATTATAAATTGTTAATCTTCCATACGTTGTCTTTCATGTAAATTAATTTTTATTGTGTTTTAATAGCATTTAAGAAAAAAAATAGTCTAATGAAGTATTTGAAAGTATAAATAAAATAAAGACGGACATGCATTCGCATTTAAACACTTAATTGGAATTTATCTAACATATGTAGTAAC